GATTAAGGGTGTGCACCACTACTGCCTGGTTTCTATGGCAAGCTAGTGTGCTCCTGGGATTAAAGGTGTGTGTCATTGCACCCTGGTCTGTAGGCTGGCCAGTGTGGCTGTGTTACTCCCTGATCCTCAGGCAAGCTTTATTTGTTAAAGTACAAATACATAAAGGTACTTGCCACCATGCCTGATGAGTTTGATCCCTGGAACTCAGGAAGGAAAACTGACTCTCACAGGTTGCCTTCTGACATGAACACATACATGCCATTGCGTACATGCACTTATGTGCACGGACACAAACACACTAAATAAGTAAATAAATAAATAAATAAATAGGTAAAATATGTAGTAATTCTTTCTAGAAATGACAAGTCTTGGGTTGGAGAAGTGGCTCATCAGTTTAGGTACTAGCTGTTCTTCCAGAGGACCCAGTTTGATTCCCAGCATCCCTGTGATGGCTCACAACCACCTGTAACTCTAATTCCTGGGGCTTCCAATGTACAAAGCCCTGGAGTTGATTCCTACTCCCACATAAAAAAAACAAACAAACTCCCTTCCTGACGGTTTATGGTGTGTGTAAGTTTTACCCCCCCAAAATAAATAACCCCTTAAAACAAAACAAAACAAAAAAACAAAACAAAATGACTAGTATATAACGACAATGAAATTATTGATTTTTGAAAATGCTGATACATATGGCATGCAGAGGACCCGAAGGACATTATGCTAAGTGAAAATAAGCCAGTGTCTAAAGGGCAGGTACTGTCTAACCCACTTCTATGAGGGCCCTAGAACAGTCCAGTTTGTACAGGTACTTGTCAGTTGGCCAGATGGAAATATGAGGGGTGTTAATATTTCCTGAGAACACCTTTCAGCAGGGACAGGGGTGCTAGGGGAAGGCTGCAGAACACTGCAAACAGTTCTGAGGATGTATGCAGCTTAGTGGGTGGAGTGCTCGTCTAGCACTGCTTGATCAGGAGGCGGTGTAGTCTGTAATCCCAGCAACTGAGAGGCAGGGCAGGAGGATGGAGGGTCAGCCTCCTCTGCACTCTAGTTTAAACTTAGCTGGGGATCAAAAAAGCAACACAGTATTGGAATTGTTTTACCTCTGATCTCAAAATATGAAACAAAGTATCAGGCAACCTTAAGATTCTAGGCAAAAGTATGCCCATTCATGGTTCTCTGTATTGTTCTTTATTTCTAATGTTCTCAAATGGGGGAAATCTCCCCTTCTCTAATTCTACTCCTGTTCCAATTTTTGTTTAAAAAATATTTTAAAGGGGGCTAGAGAAATGGCTCAGTGGTTAAGAGCACTGACTGTTCTTTCAGAGGACCCGGGTTCAATTCTCAGCACCCACATGGCAGCTCACAACTGTCTGAAGATCCAGTTCCAGGGGATCTGACATCTTCATACCAATGCACATGAAATAAAGATAAATAAATCATAAAAAAATTTAAAAATATTTAAAAAATAATTAACTTTTAAAAATCATTAAGCAAGGGGGTCTGGAGAGATGGCTCAGAGGTTAAGAGCACTCACTGGCTGTTCTTCCAGAGGTCCTGAGTTCAATTCCCAGCCACCACATGGTGGCTCACAGCCATCTGTAATGAGATCTGGCGCCCTCTTCTGGCATGCAGGCATACATGGAGGCAGAACATTATATACATAATGTTGTGCCCAGATTATGACCCCCCAGAGAGAGACCACCAGAGAGGGCAGATTGTAATAAGCAAGGTTTAATCAGCATAATACAAACATGTTTGGAACTCATCTCCATCCCCGTTACAGCAAGGTGTAGAGAGGAGTTGTATCTCCTCTGTGGGGTAAGCTTTTAAAAGCATAACTACAAAGAGAATCTTTGAAGATGCCTTGGCACAGGTACAAGGACTCTTGCTCCCTCCCATTCTGTTAAGTCAGCTTTTTCCTGTTTTTAGAGCAAGGCCACACTGTTCCTGAGTTAGGTCATCTTTATGAGCCTGTACCAGGTGGCTGTCTGGGCTGAGCTAAGTGACCTTGTGCTCAGAATCTCCTGGGTGGGAGAGGGCAAGGCCACTATCTTCCTGGGAAAACATTCTGCTAGGAAATTTCTTCTCGCCCCTTTGAGAATAAGTGATGAGGGTCCCACAATAAAAATAAATAAATGTTAAAAAAAATCATCAAACAAAACAAAAAGACCCTTTTGGTAAAGTTTTGGGAACCCAAGCTGAAGTCTACTTTTACATGGACTCCAACGATTCAGAAAACATGTTAATTTGCAAGTATGAAAGTTTTTAACCTTTTCACTTTGTATTTTAAAATACCTGTCAGCCATAAATTGTGATACTACTTTAGAGTTCCAGTGGACTTACCACCTAGCCTATCAGAGCTAATATAGAGACCAACAGAAATTGACTATGGGCAATGTTTATTCTTTTTGTTCAAAAATAAAAAACAAAAGCAAAAAATAACAACAACAACAACAATGAAGTATCATATAGCTGAGTTAAAAAAACACATTTGGAAATCCTGATTTGGTTTTGAAAGACTGGTATTTTCTGGAGGATGGAGGCGTGGAGTTCTTGATAGAGCATGTGCTTAGTTAGCATACACCGACTCTAGGCTCAGTTCTCTAGCACCGTGTCGGGTGGGAGAGAGCAAAAGAGACTAGTAGCATTGAAAGACAGGAGTTGTCAAACCTTAAATGAGCATAGCTTTGCAAGAGAAAGTGGCTGTCAAACTAATCCTTTGTATGCATCCTATCAAGAATTAGTCCTAAGCCAGCAAGATGGCTCAGTGGATAAAAGTACTTGCCATGAACCTACAGAATGGGAAAAGATCTTCAGCAATGGCAGAGGACTGATCTCCAAAATATACAAAGAACTCAAGAAACTTGACATCAAAAGAACAAATAATCCATTAAAAAAATAGGGTACAGATTAAACAGAGAATTCTCAACAGACAAATCTCAAATGTCTGAAAGACACTTAAGGAAATGGTCAACATCTTTAACCATCAGAGAAATGCAAATCAAAATAACTCTGAGATTCCATCTTACACCTGTAAGAATGGCCAAGATTAAACACACTGATGACAACTTATGCTGGAGAGAATGCTGGTGGGAGTGCAAACTGTACAGCTGCTTTGGAAATCAGTATGGTGATTTCTCAGAAAATTAGGAAACAATCTACCTCAGTAATCCTGCTGTTGGGTATATACCCAAAAGATGCTCAATCATACCACAAGGACATATGCTCACCTATGTTCATAGTAGCATTATTCATAATAGCCAGAACCTGGAAACAACCTAGATGTCCCTCAACTGAAGAATGGATAAAGAAATACATTTACACAATGGTAAATGTGTACTTCACAGTGGTAAAAAATAAGAACATCTTGAAATTTTCATGCAAATGGATGGATCTAGAAAAAACTATATTGGGGTAACCCAGACTCAGAAAGACAAATAAATATGTACTCACTTATAAGTGTCTTCTAGACATAAAGCAAAGTAAGAAAACCAACCTACAGTCCACAACCCCAGACAGCCTAGATAACAAAGAGGACCGTAAGAGAGACATACACGGATCTAAATACAAAGGAGAAAAAGACAAGATCTCCTGAGTAAATTGGGAGCTTGGGTAGAAGCAGAGGGTAGAAGAGAAGGGGGAGGAACAGAGAAAAATGTATAGCTCAATAAAAACAATTTAAAAAAGAACCAGAAAAAGAAATACTTGTCATGCAAACCTAATGACCTGATTTCGATCCCCAGAACCAGATGTCTTTGTCAGTGCTGTGAAGAGACATCACCATGGCAATTCTTACAAAGGAAAACATTTGGTTGGAGTGATTTACAGTTCAGAGGTTTAGTCTGTTACCTCATTGGTGGGAAACATAGTTGCATGCGGGCAGACATGGTGCTGGAGAAGGAGCTGAGAGCTCCACATCTGAATTGGCAGGTGGTAGGAAGAGAAGTGACTTTAGCTTGTGAGATCTCACAGCCCACCCCCTAGAGACACACTTCCTCTAGCAAAGCCACCCTACTCAAACAATGCTACACTTCCTAATGGTGACACTCCCTATGGACCAAGCATTCAAACACATGAGTCTATGAGGGCCATTCCTACTCTAACCACCACATCACCACACCAGATAAAAAAAGCTAGATATGAGGCTGGAGATATGGCTCAGTGGTTAAGAGCCCTGGCTGCTCTTCTAGAAGACTGGAGTTCAATTCCCAGCACCTACATGGTGGCTTACAACCTCTACAGCTCCAGTTCCAGCATCCTCTTCTGCCCTCTGTGAACACGGGTATGTAGGAACATAGCATGTACTCACAAACACACTAAAAACAACCACCACCACCACCAACCTGGTGGACATGGTGCTATGAATCTGTAATCCCAGCATCCTACAGTAAGACAACAGGATATGGTGCTATGAATCTGTAATCCCAGTATCCTACAGTAAGACAACAGGATATGGTGCTATGAATCTGTAATCCCAGCATCCTACAGTAAGACAACAGGACATGGTGCTATGAATCTGTAATCCCAGCATTCCTATGAATCTGTAATCCCAGCATTCCTATGAATCTGTAATCCCAGCATCCTACAGTAAGACAGCAGGCACAGCAGCTTTGCAGTGAGCTGGTCTAGAGTGCAAAGCATGGCAGAAACAAGAAAGACCTGCCTCAAAAGAAAAAAGGTGAGAATAATTCCAAGAGTTGTCCTCTGACCTCCATGTATGTGATGTGCTGTAGCGCGCGTGCACACACACACACACACACACACACACACAGTAAGTACCTAAATACCTAGTCTGTACCTCAGAAATCCTGAATGAGCCGGGTTGTGGTGGTGCACACCTTTAATCCTAGCACTCGGGAGGCAGAGGCAGGTAGATCTCTGTGTGTTCCAAGCCAGCCTGGTCTACAAGAGCTAGATCCAGGACAGGCTCCAACGCTACAGAGAAACCCTGTCTCATAAAAACAAAACAAAACAAACAACAACAACAACAACAAAAGTCCTGAATGTTATAAAGGGCAGTCCCATCACTTTACACTTACAAGTGCATTTTATTTGCCTAACTTATGCAAGGTAATGGACACATCAAGCTGCTCACTTTTAGCACAGTGGTAGCTGTTAGCAAGCATTTCTCTTCCCGCTGGAGTTTGGTCTGGTAAGCCAATGCCTTTGAAAGCCAAAGGAAAGTCAGCATAATAGCACATGTTTACAGTCCCAATACTGGGGGTGCAGACAATCATCCATCCCAGATTAAATAGTAGCTAATCTTGAATTGACAGGGAGCCTCCTGCCTCTGCTCTCCTTGGTACTCGGATGACAGGATTGAGCCAACACACTGGGCTCATCAGCTGCTTTTCTAAACCACAGTTTTAGCAGTTTCTGACACTGAAAAGAAACTGTTAATTCAATTAGTTGTTAAGAGCTAACATTTTCAGAATGTGATCAGCTAGCGTTCTAGGGGTTGGCTCTATACAATGCAGGGTGGTTAGAAGACTGTGGTGAGCCACTCCGGTCAGCTGCATGCACATGTGGACATTTTCTCTGGAGAGGGCTCCAAATCTAGAGTAGAAAATGGAGACATTGACTAACAGATGAAAACAGTGGTGCTGTATAGTTTCCAGTAGTTTAAACCAGAAGATCTCGAGTTCAAGTCATCCTGGGTCACACAGTGAGACCTTGTCTTAAAACACACACAAGAAAAAAAGTCATCCACAAAACACTACTTAACGCTGAGTGTGGTAGTGTATCTGCAAGCAATTCCAGCACTTGGAAAGTGGAGATAAAAGGGTCAGGAGTTCAAAGCCAGCCTGGGCTGCTTCTGCCCCTGCTTAGCAAACAAACCCAACTAACCAACCATGAGAGGGAAAATTTCCTAGTTTGAGGGCTTGCTGTAAAAAGTAACTGAGAGGGGCCGGAGAGATGGCTCAGAGGTTCAGAGCACTGGCTGCTCTTCCAGAGGTCCTGAATTCAATTCCCAGCAATCACATGGTGACTCACAACCATCTATAATGAGATTTGATGACCTCTTCTGGCATGCAGACATATATTCAGGTAGAACACTGCATACACTAAAAAAAGAAAGAAAAATGAAAAGAAAAACAAAACAAAACTGAGAGCTTCGTGTTTAGCTCTCTCCTTAGGCAAAAATTCTCCCTTAGCTCCTTCACAATACAGTTGTCTAAAATCAGAATTCCAACTTAGATCTAGATTTTAAAAAATAAAGTTGTAAAAACATCTTCTTTACACATTATTCTGTAATTTCCAAGCAGATTAGTTGCATTCTGTCTAGACTCCTTTCAGAGGAAGTAAAATTAACATGATTTTTCTGTGTCTTGGCCTCCAGGCGAATTACAGAAGTTAACAGGTACCTAATTGAAACGGGTTTTTCCTACTTCCTGCAGTAAGGGACTAAAGGTGAACTGTACTTCTTGTCACCTTCCCCACTTTTACTAAAATGCAACCTGTGTGAGATGCAGTTATTATTAAAGTACTGTGAATATAGTTGACAAATCTGGCTATTCAAAGAGAAACCACCTAAAAGTGGATAAGGAACTGGAAGAACCCAAATCGCCCATTGGTACCCCTGGACACAGTAAGAAATATGGCAATCATGATTAATTCGGAAATCTGGCAGGGAAGAGGAACAGATGGAAAAAAGTTTAGGTGAGGGCTTTTAATGACTAGTCAAACATAACGTGAGTCATTAAAAGTTTCCAGCTAACAATCCCTTCTGCCATACATCCTGGGCCCATTCCTTTATGAGCCACTCTGCTGTTTAAGCTGGAACATCTCGGGTTTTACTGCCTCTTCCACAAATGAACACATAAAAGGAAAGACGCTCCCCGCCGGCTTTGAAATGTAGGGCAAACTCTGCTTGGGGTTGGCGAGAAAAAGATCAAGGTACAGAGACTGAGGAACACAGAAGGCAGAAAGGGTGTTGAAAGTGGGGAAGAAAAAAATGTTTTCCCTAGGTTAGGCCTGCTGTTGGTGTCCTTACAGGCTGGGTTGGATCGTCGCCGCATGCTGAAGAGCCCAGCCCACCGCCCTGCCCCTGCACCCACCCTGCGACAGACCGGGCAGCCGGTCAGTCACTAGATCTCTGCCTCCTCGCGCTGCCTGCCGGGAGCTCCAGCCGCTTCCGGTGACGCTTGATCGTTGAACTCCGACTCCCGTCGGCCCCTGAGAAAACCGCAGCAGGTTTGCGCGGGTGCTGTCGGAATCTGTAGTTTATCTGTCGGCCGAGCTTCGTAGACGGAAACGCGGGCTAACATAGCCAGAAACTACCGAAAGGAAGGTACGGGTAGTAGCGAGGGGTCAATTCACGCCAAGCGTGGGGTTGGCGGTGAGGCCGGCGGCGGTAGTTGGGGTTGGGTGGGAGGAGATCCTTTCGCACACACGAGGAGGATTGAGCTGCTGTCGCTGCGGTCGCGAGTGCCCAGTCTGGACTGTAGCTGCCGCCCAAGACGCCGAGGAGTGAGTCGTTGGCCTCCGGCCCCTCTCTCTTACCGCCCTCGCTGGGTCAGCGCGGCCTGCTCCTCCCTGGTCGGCCGCCCCCGCCTCCATTTCCCGCCCTCTCTTCACCACACACACGGCCCCCCCGATCATGGATCCCGGCAGCGGCGGAGGCGGCGGAGGCGGCGGTGGCGGGAGCAGCAGCAGCAGCGACTCTGCGCCCGACTGCTGGGACCAGACGGATATGGAGGCCCCCGGGCCGGGGCCTTGCGGCGCCGGCTCCATGGCGGCGGTGGCCGAGTCCCAGCGTGAGAACCTCAGCGCGGCCTTCAGCCGGCAACTCAACGTCAACGCCAAGCCCTTCGTCCCCAACGTCCACGCCGCAGAATTCGTGCCGTCCTTCCTGCGGGGTCCGGCCCAGCCGCCGCCATCCCTCGCTGGCGCGGCCGGCGGCGACCACGGAGCGAGTAGCAGCGCGGGAGGCCCTTCGGGTAAAGGGCCGGGCTGGGTGTTCCCAGGGC